TCCTCCTTGAGCCGCTTGTAGAAGAGAAAAGAAGAATATACGAATCCCACGTACTTATTCCTCTCGTTGTATTTGGTAAAACGTACGCCCCATGTGAGCCTTTGTGTAACACCCCAAATTTTATTGGAATAATTTAATTTATTTATTTAATTGGGAATATTCGTATTTTAGTGGTTTTCGGTGGTTTTGTGGATTATTGGGAATTATGCATTTTTGAATTATTTATTTAATTAATAGTATACAATATGAAAATATTAGTATTATTATTAGTTAAAATAAATATAAGTGAAATATGGGTAATTTGGGCATTAAGAGGAGTTAGTAAGGGTGTTATGGAAAAGGCCCAATTGTGTGGCCCAAGACTAGGTTTGACAAAAAGGAATTCTGAAAGGAATTAGGATTCATTTTGTTAACTGTGAAAAGTATTGAGGCCTGAGCTCTGAGGAGAAGATTGGAGGCAGAAGCTTCGAGAGATTCCCTGAAAGATTTATGAAGGCTTTGAATCGATGGTTAAGGTATGAGGAGTATAGCTTTTCATGATTTTCCATGTGTATATTTCGATGTGATTATGGTTGAGTTAAGGGTTCACTACTAGAAATGCTGTATTTAGCCTCGGCCATTTTTCGACACTATAAGGCAAAAAACCGCCGCTACTAGCCAATTAGCCTCGGCGTAGTGTCGGTGTCGGGGATAGGCTAAAACGATCGAAGCTAACATTTAGCCTCGACCAAGAAGAGCCGTGTCTAAAGTAGCCTCAGTCTAGTCGTGTCTACTTTAGCCTCGGTTTATCCGTGTCTACATTAGCCTCGGTGAAGCCGTGTCAAAAAACAAAAAATAGCATGGGCCTGACCGAGCCTAAAGTCAAAGTCCATAAGCCAACATTGTATTTAGCCTTGGTCCTGGTCGAGGCTAAAGGAACATTTTGCCTCGGTTTATTCGAGGCTAAGTTCAAACTTTATAAGTCAACAAAATATTTAACTTTGGCCTAACCGAGGCTAAAGTCAAATTGTACCAACATTTAGCCATTAAACTCCGAAGCACCTTGTGGAGTCTGAAGCACAACTTGACCTATTCCATTCTGATCCTTTGTAATTTCAGTTGTTTCTCTAAAGTTCCATACTGCTGCAGAATGCTCCATCTAAATTAAACATGCAGTAACAAGGCAAAAAAACCATTCAACATAAACCAATACATATATATCCACAATTAGGATTCACACATGACAATGCATCCATTCATACAACGGTCATATAAATTCAATTTAAATTACCAGTTCACTAAAATAACCACATTACACTAAACCAATTGATATAGAATGAATCAATCTCACCTTCCATATTATAATAGCACAACATATTAACCGACAGTGACAAATCATTGATTAGCATTGCACATTCAAATCTAGTTGCATAACTAACATGAACCTATTCCATAAGTTGACACTAACTCCTGACTTTTCATTTTAAACTAAATAACATGTAAATTAGTAGTTCATTAATACATAACCTACAGTCATCAACTAAGTGAATTAACACCTAACCAATGGTAAGAAAAAATAGACAGTGGTAAGAAAAAAATTAGAACCATTTGCAAAATTGTCATAATAAGCTAAGAATATGTTATCATCATGTTCTTACCGAGTTGATGACAAGTGACAACAGTTAGCTAGGCAACAAACGAACTGAAACACTTATAACTTTGATTTGATTCACAGATAACATATTAACACTTACTGAGTTGATTCCAAATCTGAGAAACTTTAAGCTAAGAATTGAGAAACGAACTGAAACACTTAACACTTACTGAGTTGATTCCAAATTTGAGAAAGCGGCTTTTCTGTCTTTTTTGTCTTTTCTCCTACGTCGTGTTCCCCTATAACAAGCTACATGTAATGCCGTGTTCCCTTGATCATCGGTTAAGTTGATGATATCAAATGATTCAAGTAGCTTTCTCACCACCTGCATCATTACCACAATACATGTCAAGAAAATAAAGTACAGTGCATATACAACCCAAAGAAGACCCCAACCGATATCAAATCGACAATAATATTTACAGTGTCAAGAAATCAATCAATTAATGTTACCTTTTGTTGCATTATAGATTGTTCCTAACTTCCTATATTTATTGATGCTACACCACCAACGGAAGATATGAAAACAATACTTGCAGACTCTGAAGCTTTAAGGAGTGGATGTGAAAGCTGGCTTATGTGAAAAGTAGATTCAAGATTGGTATTTAACAGAAGTGAAAAATCTTCTTCTATAATATCCAATGTCTGTTTCTGTATGTTTGTTCCCACATTGTTCACCTAAATTCCACACATAAAAATGTATGCATAATGTAACAAACAAAAAAAATATATATATGGTAAAACTAAGTTAAAGATACTTTAGCTTAATATAAAGTTTTCAACAAGTGTGATCCTATATATAAAGTTTTCACATTGTTCACCTAAGCATTCATTGAGCTCAGCTTCGTTTCTCGCACAAGTGTGATCCTATTGTAGAGTTGAAAATTGTTTTAAGCTAAAACAAAATCACCGTCAATAATGAAGTACAAAATACCATACCACCATTGTTGTCTTCTGAGCCAGCATTGTTGATGATTCATACAGTGGACGCAGTACCTCGGGAACGCTCAATGGCTAACAATAACAAACATGTTGAAGTTACTTTACGTTGGATGAAAATACCAATGCAACAAAGTTGAATTCCTATACCTCCAAATCCATATGATCAACAATGTGGATGATGGAACCACCTCCATCATAAGGTCTTATCAGGTACCCACTGGGCAGCATCTCAGCTCTAACAAAATGCTGCACAGGAGGCATGCTTGGACCATTCTGTGTGTTTTTAAGAGACCTCTCACATATCTGAAAAAAAGAAAGCATTAAAGAATTGATTCAAATGTTCTCATGTACTTCATAATTAGGACAACTTTTAATAAAATAATAGAACTGGGCATTGCACATAAGAGATATCTGTTTTTGACTACACCATCGAGTCAAATAGAAATATTAAAGTTGTGTAACAGTACAACCAAGTAAGCTATAAAACAGAAAACATAAAGGTCTAAGTAGATTTAAGTAGTTGGCAATTAAACATGAACAGAAAACTGAAAGGTCTAAGTAGATTTAAGCATGGAAGATTAAGGTTCATCTTGTGGCTAGTGATGCATGGAAGATTACCAACCAAAGACAGACTATTTAGATTTGGAGTGGCCACTGATGGTAATTGTGTTTTCTGTCACCAACAGGAAACTCTATCAAAGTTTAAGCAAACATACATGATGACTCTCTCTACAATAATTTCACACAAGAAAAACACATACAAAAAATCCTACCAAATACTACAACCTAGTCTCACCTTGATTGTCTAAGAAACTTGTCCTCATGGATTAGCAACTCTGAGGCACATAACAGATCTAATCATGTGTAGATCAACCACAATTGTAAGTCTTTTGCGTTGTTCGGTTGAAAGTCCATTCTCGCCTGGCAATCCAACCCGTGCTTCTCTTAATGAGTTAAGCTCTACAAGCTCCATAACTTCTTCAATAAACATCTTCATCACATAAAATTGAATTCAAGTTAATAATCTATTACATCAACTCAATGCCTTGGTTTTAGGTTGTAGAAAATTGTACCCTTCTAGTAGCTTGATCTACTTCAGGTGGTAACCGAAGCCACGAAGAATATAACAAAGATTCATAAACGGTAACATTAGGTGAGTGGATATCAAATTGTTCGCAATATCCGAAGCAAACATTTTTTGATTCTTTGGATAGCCAGATATTGTGATGTTTCCCTCAATATATCCACCGGTTTTCCTTCCGGCTAAAACATCCATTAGAGTAGTCTTTCCGGCACCACTTACTCCCATCAAAGCTGTTAGTACTCCAGGCCTAAATGCACTAGTAATACCTTTCAAAAGTTTGAGACGATCCTCAAAAACTGCTTGACTTTTCATTTCCTGTGGCATGTCTACAGCATATTTGATCTCATCAAAAGTGAGGGATAATGGTTGAAAAGGAAGAACCATGCCTCTCCTTCCACTTCTACTAGATTTACCATTATCAACTCTTGCAGAAAAAGACGCGGATGGCATAAACTCTTCTTCTGCCATATTTGTTTCTATTTTGTCATCACAGTCAATATGTTATGGCTTGAATACAAAACTTTACAAGCTAGAAAAAGTTCAAAGACACACCAGAAATTCTCTTTCCAGTCGGTAACTGTGTAAACTCTTCAGCTATTGAAGCATTTCGCTCTAGCAACTCCTCCTCGAATAGTCATGCTTGATCCTTTCTGAATGCTATAGAAAAATGCAACATTTCCAATGATATCAGAAAAGAGGTCTAAGTAAAGTACAAAGCTCGAAAAGAGACATGAAAGACGGTACTCACGGCTGAGATATCGTAAAGCCAGGGTGAACAAAAAGTTAAACAGGAAAACGTAACCAATCAATGCTCCTACACCAATCCAATACCAATAAGTTTCATGATAGTCATATTTAGCTCTGATATTCCATTGAACATCGCTACTAGCACTGTAAAGAATAGTGCTCCCATGTATGTTCCTCCATCTTCCACTGTATCCTTATGCATCTTAGATTTTAGAAACAATGTTGTTGTCATGATTGCAAAATAAATAAGCTGAAAATGAGGAACAATGCATTCATAAGAGCCGAGCGAAATATAGAATATGATATGCACAACATTAGTTCTTGAATGTTTCTTACTTGAGTGACTTTGAATATATGGACACACGAATTTCGGTTCATAAGCAAAAACTCTCTGCTAGCACAAGCCTTTAAAAGCTCCTTCATGTTAACACCATATTTCTTTGTAGTCAAGATATTCGCATGACATTTAGATTTGTCGAAAGGATTAGCTAGTTCATCTCCAAGTTTTTGACCTATGTGAAATATTTGAAAGGCTTCGGCAAAATCCTTGACAGTAACAAAACTATACGGTTCGTCTTTATTCGCCCAATATTGCTATTGATCTTTTCTTGATGTCACCTATTGCATAATATTAGAACAAAACCAACTTCACATCGATAAAAGAAAGTAACGAAGTTCTAATAGAAAGACGAAAGGAAGTATACTTCTTGTAAGAAATCCACGATGCCTTTTCTCTCAAGACACTTGAATCCCGTTGATTCGAAGAACTCGAGAACATTCTCTCTTGGTCTTTGATAAACAATTTGTCCATCGGTGAGAAGTATGATATCATCGAATAACTCATAAGTTTCTGGTGCTGGCTGTAGAAGTGACACGAGTGCAGTTCCGTTCAGAATATGGATCGATTGTCTGATCGAGCTGATTATTTGAAAAGTGGTTGAACTGTCCAAACCAGTTGATATCTCATCCATGAACAACACTCTTATTGGTCCAACCAGCATCTCACCTTCACATTTTTCACCAAAAAAAACACATCATAATCACATTTGACTTTAATCATAATTTAACTCCAAAGTCTTAGATACGATACTTTTTACGCTGACAATGTATCAAAACTAAACTCGTAAGTAACTTCGTCACGCTTCTATCGATAAATGAAATACCTGTTGTGACTCTCTTTTTCTGTCCTCCGGAGATACCTCTTATCATTCCATCTCCTACCATAATATCAGCACATATTTCAAGTCCCAAAATCTGTAAAATTTTGAAAAGAAAAACAGATGAAAAAAAAAATATTACATTGCTTTACAAGTTATCATATTACCTCAAATTGACGGATCGAGAATCTTACCTTGAGAATATAGTCGGTTACCATGCTCTCCTGATGTCCTTCTAGCGCTGCTGCCTGCGCAATTTTGAATGAATCATACAAACCGAAACAAAAAATGCAGCTTCCTTATAATCCTTATAATGCAAAGTGTTCAGAATTTCAAACATAAATTTCATAGAGTTTTTTCTCACCTTCATATAGGCATCAATATCAGGGTCTGGTTTAATTTTTGCTTCTTTCTCTCTTCTTAGTAGTTCAGTAAACATATCTGAAAAGTATAGCAGAATTGATTTTGAAATTGATTTTTCCTTCAGAATTGATTCTATCTTGAAGCTAGATTTTGGAGCTTTTGCACTACAATTTATAGTTCAATCCACTTTTACTCGAACATAATGAAACATAACGAAAGCTAGGGTTTCTCTAACAGTCATTTCTCCAATGTGATTATCATGTTGACTTATATAAGCTGATGTTCTTTGTGGCACAAACTCTTCTAGTTCTTTCCCATTATATTTTACTCTCCCAGAATTCTAAAGTTCCATCACCAATCAAATTATTATTACTAACGTTCAACCACATTTAACAGAACAGTGCATATAAAATCTTAAATAAAAATTAGAGTGTGAATCATTAAACCTAACAGCAACACAGACAAAAGCAGGGGATGAGTTGAATGCAAAACATCATAATCATTAAACCTAAATCTCAGTTAGGGTTGGAATTAGAATGGCAAATAACAAAATCTAACCTTAAAAATGGCAAATAATACAAACAAATTGATTCTATCTCTGCGTCTTTTCTCTGCTTGACTATGACTCTTGGAAGCACTTGCAACTCTATCTTCTAAACTTCCTTCAATAGGTAGAGGCCAAGACTGAAACTCACTATATTGAAAAAAAGCAGAAGAAGAATCAGAGATAGTTTGAGGTTGAAAAAAAGTAGAAGAAGAATCAGAGACCAATAAACCCACTCAGAAGAATAGATGATCTTGAAGATGAAAACAAAGAGATGAAACTCACTACATTGATTTTAGGATTTTTTTTCTTCTGAAAATGTATTTGGTTTAATTTTAGGGTTCTCTGAAAGAAATTAAGAGGGAAACATGAAAAATAAGGTGGCAAATATTTAGCCTCGGCTCATCCATGTCTATCAGATAAAATAAAAAAAAATAAAAAACGTTAGCCTCGGTTGATCTGTGTCTATCAGATAAAATAAATATATTCAAAAAATATTAAAAACGTTAGCCTCGGCTCGTCCGTGTCTAATATTTAAAAAAATAGAAAAACTTTAAAATGGGGTTTATTGCGTTTAAATAGCCTCGGTTTTGTCAAGGCTAGTTAGCCTCGGTCTCTGTGGCCGAGGCTAAGTTCGCAACTTAAAATAGTTAGCCTCGGATTGACCGTGTCTAATGTTTTAAAAAAATCTAGCCTCGGCCTAGCCGTTTCTAATGAATTAAATAAAAATAATTGTAAAAGAAAAACTTTAAAATGACTCTTTTTTTTGCATTTGAATAGCCTCGGTTTTGTCAAGGCTAGTTATCCTCGGTGTCAGTGGCCGAGGCTAAATTCGCAGCTAAAATGAAGTTTTCTAGTAGTGGTTTAAGGGTTTTATGGAGAATTATGGGAAAAAGGGAATTTGACCTTAGTCTAACCCTTAGGGAAATTGATAGTTTGAACCTTGATGATTGGGGTGTAGTGGTAAGTATTCCCGAGAGTTAGAGTCGGATATGAGAAATAGTGATCTTTGCCCTTCGTGGTCAAAACTTTGAATTGTTATATGTCTGACCCTGAAGGAATAGGAATATTAGATAATGAGTAACTTTAATGCCTTAGGGTGTAATTGAAGGAAAAATTGTGATTTAGGGCGTGAATATGTTGTTGGATTGGCCTAATGAACCGTAGGTTTTATGCATTTATCACTGTAAGACCTTAGGGATGATTTAGGGATGTTTTGGGGGCATTGGGGAAGTGAATCATAGAGCCTTTTGAGTGATTTCAGGTTCTGGTGCGTAGCAGAATTTGCTGTCATCACACAGTTCGCCTAACAAAGAAAGCTTCGCCTAGCGAATCATGTTGTGCCCAGACTCGCCTAGCGAAGGATGCTTCGCCTAGAGAAGGATGCTTTGCCTAGCGAAGATACTCGCCCCAAACTCGCCTAGCGAACATGCCAGCAAACATAGTAAAGTTTCGTGAATGTTGATCGTGTGCATCGATGCCTTGATGTTTTATTCTGTGATTTCTGTGACGGATTAGCATGAGTGGGACTGGGAAGTTTATGTAATTAATAGGTGATAGTATGAGGATTACCGCGAGTATAATTATGAATTAATATGTGATAATATGATGAATTAATACGAGTATGACTGTGAGCGCTATGTGATTTGTACATGATTACATGATGAGTTTCTATGATGTGTGATGATGATTATTATGATGAATTATGATGACATGATGTATGATGATGATGATTATGATGAGCTATGATGACATGATATATGAAGATGATTATTATGATGAGTTATGATGACATGACGTATGATGATGATTATGATGATGAGGTATGACGTTTGATGATGATGAATATGATGAATGATGATGCACCTATGATGTTATTATGAGGATGATTTGTGACGTGTGCATCATGCATTCGTGTGCATCCGGACTTCGGTTCAGGACCTCAATTACTTTGACTTCAATCCCATTGTATGGACGTGAAGTGTTTTGATGTGCTCCGGTTTTCTAGTAGAATCGATCCTATTGATGGAGATCTATGGAGGGTTGATGGCCCAGTGTCCATCGAGCTGTGATGATTGGTACCACATGCATTGAGTCTTGTTGCATTGCATCTATGGGTCTTTTTGTATGAATTATGATGTTGTGGCCTTTGAGGCATAGTGAAGGGTAGGAATGTGTTGAATATGATTAGGATGCCATTTATATGTTGATTTCATACATTGATTATTATGGATTGTTTTACTCACCTTGCCTGTTTGAGTGTTACCTCCACGTGGGTAACGTGCAGATGACCAGGTTTAGTCGTGGACGCCGTTGAGGACTTTTAAAGTTTTGAGTTGTTGGCCTTTGGTCAACTTATAGGGTCTTGCTCTGATAGTGTAACATCGGGTTGGGGTCTTTGAGTTAAGATATGTTTTATTTGAGTTATTTTGATTATCTTCCCGTATAAGGAAAACTTGGGATTATGTCTTTGAGTTCCGCTGCCTGTGAGTAAATTTTGATATCTTTTGGGAAAAACCCGTTGTACATGGAGCATTGAATTATTTTGTGACATTGAGAAATGTACGCCCTTTTGGTGGCTTTTTATGAAATTTAATAATTTGCTCAGATATCTGCGTTATTTTGCCATAATATTTGTGGGTTAGAAAAGGGTGTTACATTAGTGGTATCAGAGCAGGTCGGTCCCTCCGGCCAAGTTGTCTAATGTTAATTGTTCCCTTGTATGTGACGTGTGTGTGAAAACACTGTCGGTGCACGTTATTTTCTAACCTTTGTCTGCAGAAGTGGGAATTAAACAAGTGGGGGAGAAGTTGTGCTTCTCTAGGATGCTGCAAGTGTGGGGTGGTGGCACAGTGTGTCGAAGAACGCTCTTATAGTTTGGTAAAGATGGTTTATACCCCATCATGATTTTCGGTTGTCTATTGACAACTTGAGGAACTGATCACCCTTAATCTCTTGTTGATAGTAGACAAGGTCATGTTGGATGGGATAGACAGGTCTTGCAAGCTTAGGTGGCGTGAGCAGTGAATTGCTTTGAGTTAAGCTAAGTGCTTACGAATTGTTTTGATAAGTTGGTGCAGGATGGTGATGAGATGTTTATTTTGATGGAAAATTTGAGTGTTAATGAAAGTGGGGAAGTTGGTGGTTTGCCAATAAATTGTGATTTTCCGGAAGTTTCCTGACAAGATAAGTGATTTACCGCCAGGACGTGAAGTGGAGTTTGCGATCGACTTAGTTCCTGGAACTAGTCCGATATTGATGGCTCCATATCATATGTCTGCATTGGGATTGAAGAAGTTGAAGAATCAACTTGAAGATTTGCTTGAGAAGGTTCGGTGAGGCTTTGGGTGGATTATAGATAAGTGAACAAGGTGACTATCGAGAGTAAGTGTTCACTTCTAAGGATTGATGATTTGATGGATCAGTTGGTTGTTTCAAGTGTGTCTAGTAAGATAAAGTTGAGAACTAGGTATCATCAAATTCGTGTGAAGGATGAAGATATTCAGGAGACTGCTTTTAAAACAAGGTATGGACATTATGAGTATTTCGTGGTGCCATTTGGTGTGACTAATGCACCATGTGGGTTTGTAGAGTATGACAAGGATTTTCCATACTTATTTGGGCAAGTTTGTGGTTGTGTTCATGGATGATATTTTGATATACTCGAAGAGTAAAGAGGATTGTACTTAGCATCTGAAAATTGTGTTATCAGCGTTGAAAGAGAGGCAGTTGTATGCAGAACTGTCAAAGTATGAGTTTTGGTTGAAGGATGTGAGTTCCTTGGTCATGTGATCTCGAGTAGAGTTATTGCGGTTGATATGTCGAAGGTTGGAGCTGTATAGCAATGGGAAGCTCCAAAAACCTGTATTTGAGATTAGAAGTTTTCTTGGGTTGACAGATTGTTATTGGAATTCATTGAAGGATTTTTTTCCAAGTTATCTTTTCCATTGATGCAGTGGACTAGGAAGGTTCAAGCTTTTGTTTTGGGATGCAAAGTATGAAGAAAATTTGCAGGAGCTTTTGAGAAGACTGACAACAGCTCAGGTTTGATTTTGCCGAATCCGACAGAACCATTATGGTACATTGTGATGCTTCGTTGATGGGATTGGGAGGTGTGTTAATGCAACATCAGCAAGTTTATCTTATGTTTTAAAGTAACTTAAAGGGCATAAATGGAATTAGCTGACGCATGATTTAAATTTGGTTGTTGTTGTGGGTGTGTCAAAGCTTTGGAAGCCTTATTTGTTTGGTTCGAGAATTGAGAGGTGTAGTAATCGTAAGAGTTCGAAGTACTTCTTTGATCAAAATGAGTTGACTATGAGGTAGAGCAAATGATTGCGACTTCTGAAGGATGATAGTTTTGGGTTGAATTACCATTCGGGTAAAGCAGACGTGGTAGCTGATGCATTGATTTGGAAATCTTGGCATATACCGATGATGATGGTAAAAGAGTTAGAACTGATTGAGCAATTTCGTGATATGAGCTTGGTTTGTGAAGAGACTTCTTGTGGAGTTAAGCTTAGAATGTTGGA